CTCTCTCTCTCTCTCTCTCTCTCTCTCTCTCTCTCTCTCTCTCTCTCTCTCTCTCTCTCTCTCTCTCTCTCTCTCTCTCTCTCTCTCCATCCACCTTTGCCTGAAGTCTTCCATTGCTCTGTACCCCACCCAACCTCTGCCCTCCCTCCTCCTTCTATCTGCCCTCCCCCTGCCCGACTTCACCCTGCTGTCTTTCCCCTTCCTCCCGGCCTCCTTCCACCTCCTCCTCCTCCTCTTCACGCTTTTTCCCATGCTCGTCTCCCCCTTGCTTCTTCCCTTCCTTCATACGTCACTCAACCTCTAAACTACCTTCTGCTTTCTGTCCTCCCTCCGCCCTACTTCTCCCTGCTTCCTCCCTTTTCTCCCGGCCTCCTCTGGACATTCTCTTAAAACCTCCCTGTGCCCTCCCTTCGCCTGGCCACCTCACTCCCCTTCCTTCGCCCAATCTCCGCCTGACCTCCTTCCCTCTATCTCCTCCGTCCTCTCCGCCCGATTTGCACTGACCTCCTCCTTCCCCCAATCTCCTTCCTCCTCTTCCTTCCTTGGCCCGATCTCCACCTGACCTCCTGCTTCCGCCCTACTCTCTGCCGCGTCTCCCCTCCCTACTGCCCTCCTGCGCACCTTCTCTTCAACCCCCCTCATTCCCCTTCGTTCTCCCCCTTCGTTCCCCCTATCTCTGTCTTACCTCCTCCTTCCCCCGATCTCCTTCCTCCCCTTCCTTCCTCAGCCCGATCACCACCTGACCTCCCCCTCCATTCCTCCCTCCGTCCTACTCCCTACCTCCCCCTTCCTCCCTCGGCCGCCCGCCCTTCCTTCGTAACGCCCGACCTAAGAAATACTTCTTTCCCTTTATCCGGTGGACGTCAACGCTCCATTTATTATCAAGATGGCTCCATTTCTTTTAAGATCTCAACATGGTTGCACACGCGCAAGAAGGAGAGAGGGAAAGCAGGAGAGAAAAACGCATTTCACCTAACACACTTCCTCCTCCTCTCGCTCTTCCTTCCTCGCACTTTGTCGGTCTCCTCCACCACAAAACGTACGTCTTCTGCCCCCTCAAGATCTTCCTCCTCAACATTCTCCCTCGGTCTTTTCTCTGGAACGGCCTTATGATCAATTGCCCTGCGCCAGGTATTTCAGGCTATCGATATTTCTTTCAATATTTCACTCTCTTCCTCCCCAGTCCAACCACACTGAGTCAGCTCTCTCTCTCTCTCTCTCTCTCTCTCTCTCTCTCTCTCTCTCTCTCTCTCTCTCTCT